ATTTTTGAATCATAATGAAAAAGATGAAAACAAAGGCAAATAAAATAAAATACGGTAAAGTTTTGTGTAATTTAAAACAAACAATACCATTATTATTGTGATATCATCTCATATTGGTTGGGGAGGAGAACGAAACACCTTTTACAAAGGGTGTGGAAACCTTTTCCTAGGAGACGCGTTTTAAAACCTTGAGGAGAAGCTTGAAAGGGAAAACCCCAAGAGGACAATATCTGCTAGCGGTAGACCTGGGGCATTACAAATGTATTAGAGTCAAACAACGAGAAGATTGATCCCCAAAGGGAGTAGACACGAGGCGGTGTGCCATCGAGGACACTGGGCCTTGAAGGGGGTGGATTGTGATATCCCACATTGATTGGGGAGGGGAGTAGACACGAGGCGGTGTGCCATCGAGGACACTGGGCCTTGAAGGGGGTGGATTGTGATATCCCACATTGATTGGGGAGGGGAGTAGACACGAGGCGGTGTGCCATCGAGGACACTGGGCCTTGAAGGGGGTGGATTGTGATATCCCACATTGATTGGGGAGGGGAGTAGACACGAGGCGGTGTGCCATCGAGGACACTGGGCCTTGAAGGGGGTGGATTGTGATATCCCACATTGATTGGGGAGGGGAGTAGACACGAGGCGGTGTGCCATCGAGGACACTGGGCCTTAAAGGGGGTGGATTGTGATGTCCCACATTGATTGGGGAGGAGAACTAAACACCATTTAGAAGGGTGTGATGTTTTAATAAAGCCTTGAGGGGAAGTTCGAAAGGAAAAGCCCAAAGAGAACAATATCGGCTAGCGGTGGACCTACAATTAACTAATTTTTTAAAGAAAAAAAATCAATATGATTATTGCATGTACATTTGTACAAATTAAACAAAAAATTTATTATTATTTTATTATTATTATTACAAATTAAGGTGTATTTAATGTTTCTTTCTTGATTTGCAATTATTTTAGGCCACAAAATGAGATAAAATTACCTAAAAAAAGCAATTTTTTATGGCCACGAATTTAAGTGGGTTTAATTTGGTATATGTTTGGGCATAAAATGAAATAATTATTGGATATAATCATCATTAAAACTATATGCTATAAAAAAAAATACATGTAACGATATAAACAAAACAATTAATTGATAATAGAAAAATAATTAGTATAATAGGACAATAATTGACGAAGTGGGTTAGTTGAAAAATTAAAGCAAATTCGCTAAAAGCTAGAATTAGTCGCCGTTAAATGTACATCCATCACTTATTGTTCCCAATACGCCAACACTACTTTGTTAATTTCCCACCTTAAACACCAACCCTTTCTTTAATATATGATCTTGTAGCCTCTATTATGAGTAGGACGTTCCAATATATTAATTTTAATACGTTACTCAATCATATAAATTTTAAAATTAAGCGTATTTCATTTAGGACCGTTTGATGTTGTGCGACCTTCTAGAATTTTTTCTAAGAAATGTTCGAGTGAGGAAAAAAAAAAAAAAAAACAGGCTAAAAAGATGTTTGTTTTTTTTAAGGTTATGAGATAGTCATCATTTTATAAGCAACGTGTTAGATGAACACGACTCTCCAAAATGGTATAATATTGTTCATTTTGAGCATAGGCTCTCATAACTTTACTTTGGGTTTTTCCAAAAGGCCTCGTACCAACGAAAATAGTATTCATTGATTATAAACTCATGATCATTAGAAAAGCCCAAAACAAACTCACGAGAGATATCATACCATTGTGGAGAGACGTGTTCGTCTAATACAAGTATGCATGTCGCAGGAGAATAGTAAAATATTATTATTGTTATTTAGTTTAGGTAGATTTGTTTTAGTATACATAAAACATATTCTGAGAATATTCATCAACAGTAACATCAACCTCATACGAAGATATTCTTAAGAATATTCATTAACAGTCAACATCATCATCTTTTTCATGATTTAACTAATTTTCTTAGCTTTATTAATTTTGAAATTGGCCTCAATTTAGACCAAATGTAAATGTTTTTTTTTTCACGAATCTTGCTCGGTGAATATAATCATTTTGACTCGTACTACTAGTTTGAATAGAATCCTTGTCTCGAGATTGAAAATGTCGCATCTTTATGTAATTCATTTATCGAAAGTCTACCTATTTTATATGTATTTTGCATATTAGACTTATTACGAATGTTAATTATGACATCCCAGTAAATGAAGGGTACGTGAATGAACTGAAACTACATGTAAATGGGTGCAATCTTGAGAATATGATGATTAAGAAACATTCAAAGAAAATGAATGATCGTGTTTGTCTATGATGATAGTTTTCGCTCTTCAAAGTGATTAAAAACTATTTTTTTTTTTTAATTTTCAAAATATGAATTAGTTTTTGAAAATATTAATAAAAATTAAAGAAAAACAACTTTTATAACATTAATTTTTTAAAACTAAAATAGTTAGGTTAAATTTTTAGCAAATTATGAACAAACTACTAAAATTGATTTTGGAATGCCTTTTAAAAAGATGAAAAGACCTTTTAGCCCATCAACATCCATTGTTTGGTCCACTTCCTTGAACCGCTGAACCGCTCATGTGCTTTTAGAAGAATCTCTTATGTACATTGTAATAACTTTTGGGGAAAAAATTATTTTTTTTAAATAAAATTATTTGTTTTTGTACAAGCATCTACTTATAAATAATAATAAAAAAAATAAATAAATTATAATATAAAGTGGGTTTAAAATAATTTCTAAAATTATTTCAAAGAAATTAGCTGCCGATCTTTAAAATATATAGTAAAAATAATTAATGATTTAGATATAGAACAATAATACATAGATACATACATATATATATATATATATATATTATAATATAAAATTTAGTTACTTGGGGTTCCTTGATTTAATTAATTGGTTAATAAGCCAAATATAAATATCTTACTATTTAAAAAAGATATAAGGAGGATAGTCATTTTTTGGACTATATTTTTCGAATGACATTATATAATTCCATATATGTCCCTCTTTTAATTATTTAATTATTTTCCAATGTAACTAATTTATCTTCCTTAGTTGAATTTATTTTTTAAAATTTTATATTAATCCTCATGTGTAATACGCTAATTTTCAAATTTGTAATTAATAAGTTATATTTAAAATTTTTAAATATATATATATATATTGAATATATTAACGGCACAAAAAATACCATACACAAAATTTATAAAAAAAGAAATTTAAAAATCTAAAAGAACATTAAATATTTATTAAATATTTTTTATGTTTTTAAAATTATTTATGCATATTTTAGTCTAATAATTAAAAGGGGAAAAACTAGAGAAAGGATTTTAAAAGTAAAGTGTTTATATATTGATAGAAGACATTAATTAGCTTAATTTTTTTTAAAAATAAATCTATTAGCTTAGATTTTTTTTCTCTTTTTTCAACTTTATATATTTACATTAAAATACAATTAAACTTATAATTTTTAGTCTCTAAATTTTTAATTTTATATTTATTTGGTCCCTACACTAAAAAAAAAATTTAAAAATAATTAATTTATTAGATATAAAATTGTTTATTTATTTATAAATTTTGTGTATGGTGGTATGTTAGACCTTAAAATTTATATCATTAAATTTATAGAATTTTTGTAATTAAACCCAAAAATTAACAAATTAATAGTAATATAATTTAATTAAAACAATTTTAGAAGAATAATACTCAAATTTTGCATAAAAATTTACCAAATTTCACAACAAATCCATTAGAATTAGCTCAAATTATTGTAGGTGATCCATTGTTTTTTTTTAAATAAATAAATAAATAGAATATATATTAAATTTTAAAAAAATATCTGATAAAAGAAATGGGGTTTTGGTGGTTTGTACAATGTGCATCTTTATGGAAATGAAGAAATAATTGGAAAATGAGTGCATGTAAAGATCAGCAAATTAAAGATTAAAAAAAAAAAAAAAAGGTGATAATGAAATAATGGATTTGATTAAAGTGAGTAAGGACACCATATTTTTTTTTTAAAAAAATAAAAAATAAAAAATTAATAGTTGAATTTATTTATATAATTTAAATTATATTATAAAGCAAACGCACACAAGGCTAATTCCTTTAAATGTTGGAATTTAATTAGCTTGGAGTATACGCAAAAAGAATAGGTTTAGTGATGATAATGGTTTAATTTTAATTTTTATATCCAAAAAAATGGAGACTTGGAATAGCACTACGGTTTTGTGGAATCATAGATGTCGTCTACGTCTTTTGTTCTAACCACTTCGTTTCTAGGAATCCAATTCAAAGTTGAATATTCGTAGACGATGATTAAGCTTTTTCCAGAAACTTTACTATTAACTTTAATCAAACTCTAAATTTTGTGGAATCGATATATTCTTCGAGTGTGTGTTAACATGAGAGGTTTCCACACTCTTATACCAACCGACGTGGAATCTCACAGGAATGGGGTGATTAAGAAGACACATTTTTTATCTATGGCTTGTCGGAGTGACCTCCACTATGTGCTTATGGCACTGAAAGTTGGTGGAGAAAGCTGGATGTTAGTGGCTTATGTAGTTGTGAGGCGGTAGAAAGTTTGCTTCTTTCTCCTCGTCCCTTTTTCAATGAAGTGGAAAGTGTTTCGGTCTCTTTGATTGGTAGGGGCGTGAAGTTCGAACAGTTAAGTTATATTTAGGTTGACAACATGAATAGAGACGTAAGTTAGTATTAGTTAATCGAATTTAGAGTTTGGAGTGTAATTTAATAACATGTTAGAAAAATTAGGTAAAAGGAACAAGGTTGGATTTGAGCCACGAATGCACGTACCTGAAAAAATAAATATTACATGCTTCTTCTGCTGTGATGTGACCCTTACGTAGTGGTGATTTTATGGACATGTTTTGTTTGGAAATCCCTCGCTATAAAAAGGCCTCTCAAAAAGCTGAAAATGGATATCAACTCTTACCGTCTACAGATTTGTCTCCGGCGACACCGGCGGTATGGAGCATCCCACCGGAATGTGGAGCCAAGCCAGGCCATTTATTGCAGTGATTCTTCAGCAGTTCATCACTGCCGGAATGGTCATCATTTCCAAGTTTGCTCTTAACCAAGGACTCAACCAGCACGTTTTAGTCGTCTATCGCTACGCCATTGCCACTGTTGTCATCGCTCCTTTAGCTCTCGTCTTCGAAAGGTCTCTCTTCTTTCTCCTCTCTCCTCTTTATCTCTCTTCGAGAGAGTTCGGTTAACCGTGTTAATAACAGGAAAGTGAGACCCAAGATGACTTGGTCCGTTTTTGGAAAGATTGTCTTGCTCGGATTATTGGAGTAAGAACTTTTAACTCTTAATCTCCACCTAGCGGAATATTAGATTTAATGTAATCTATCAACTTAAACTTTTGAGTCTTTATGACAGGCCTGCACTCGACCAAAACTTATATTACACGGGCATGAAGTACACTACAGCAACTTTCGCATCTGCTATGACCAACATGGTCCCTGGTCTTATCTTCCTCCTGGCTTGGATTGTTCGGTAATTTAGTAAAAAACATCAATTATATGATGCTTATTAAATGTTTTGATATTTACTAACCGATATTAAAAAAGAAAAAACCTTTTATGGTTATGAAATGGGTAATTTCTTAGTCTATGGTCAGATATGTCTATTTCATCCTATTAAAATACATAAAATACATATTTCTAGCTCAATTAATAATGTATATCATTGATAAAGAAACACTAAAATATAAATATTGGAATTGAAATATATAAATGACTAAAAGTTGTAATCATCTAACATGATCGCTAACAAATATTGTCCTCTTTAGGGTTTTCACTCAAGGTCTTTAGAACGTGTCTGCTAGAGAGAGATTTCTACACTCTTATAAAGAATGTTTCGTTTTTCACTCTAATCGATGTGGGATCTCACACGCAAGTACTAATTAAATGATATATTAACGACTAAGAGCTAAGAAGTTTAAGATTCACGCAAATAAAAAATTAAAAAAGAGATGAAATTCTCGATCGGTTCCTTGCAAGGTCATTCTCGCCATTGGTATCTATAGTTCACATAATGAATCCCATCTGTTCTATGTTTTGTTTAGGCTGGAGAAGGTTAACGTAAGGCAGCTGCCAAGCCAGGCAAAGATATTAGGGACAGTGGTAGCGGTGGGAGGGGCTATGATAATGACTATGGTAAGGGGGCCAATTGTGAGCCTGCCATGGACAAACAACACCCTCCTCCATCACTCTTCTGCAGCTGCAGTCAGCCAGCAAGATTTTCTCAAGGGAGCTCTCATGATCACTACAGGCTGCATTTTTTGGTCTGTTTTTACTGTTCTTCAGGTAAAAATCCATTTTCCATGATATTCAATCAGAACAGCACATACCTAAGCACATACCTAAACCCTCCGCTAGCAGATATTGTCATTTTTTAAGTTTCCCCTCAAGACTTTTAAAACGCGTCTATTAAGTGAGGTTTCTACACTATTATAAAGAATGTTCTGTCCTCCCTAACCGATGTGAGATCTCACAATCCACCCCTTCGGGGTCTAGCGTCCTTGCTGGCACACTGTCTCGTGTTCACTCCCTTTCAGGACTCAGCCTTCTCAGTGGCACATCGTCTGATGTTTGGTTCTGATACAATTTGTAGCAGCCCAAATTGTCCTCTTTGGGCTTTACCTTTCGAACTTCCCCTCAAAGTTTTTAAAACACGTCTGCTAGAGGGAAGCTTCCACACCCTCATAAAGAATGTTTGATTCTCCTCCCTAACCGACGTGGAATCTCACACGATTCGATTCGACACAACATGAAGAGACAGTAGCAATTATAGAATGGTACTCTTAAAAGGATAACAGAAAAGGATTATCAAATGAGTTTTGATTTCTTAATTTCTTCAATCTTCCAGGCGATTACAGTAAAGGTATACCCTGCACAGCTCTCCCTAACAGCTTTGATATGCTTCACCGGCGCCGTGCAAGCCTCAGTGATAGCTTTGGGAATGGAAAAGCACAATCCTGCTGCCTGGTCATTACATTTAGATTCCACCCTCTTAGCTCCTTTATACAGTGTAAGAAATCATCAAATGAACACAGAATCGGTTTCAAATAGTTTCATACAATTCACAGTTCCCTGTTTCTTGTAGGGAATCATGTCTTCAGGGGTCTCATATACTATTCAAGCAGCGATAATGAAAACGAAAGGGCCAGTTTTTGCAAGTACATTTAGTCCCCTAAGCATGGTCATTGTTGCAATCATCAGTTCATTCTCATTATCTGAGAAATTATACTTTGGAAGGTAATTAACCTGACTATTCCACAGCCCACCAATGCAGAGATCAGAGTTTGGTGATAATAATCTAAATGATCCTAAATATTTTGCAGGGTTCTTGGAGCAGCTGTTATTATTACAGGTCTTTATCTAGTTCTGTGGGGTAAAATCAAGGATCAGGCTCCATACAAGTCGGATATTGAGAAGATAGCCCCATCCGATCAGAAACCGACTGCCATAACCGACATACCTAAGACTTCAGATAAAGAACTTGTAGTTGATCTTGCTAGAATAAAGACAGTGGATGGTTCTGTTTGATAAGAGCAACAAAGAGCAATCATCAAAACTTTCATAAAGCCATTGATGGGGTTAGGAAAGAGTCCATGCAGACAATTCTATTTCTCTCTGCTTCTGTTTCATTTGGGTGAATTTGGAAGGATGTCTAATATGCAGAGTGTATAAAGTAGTCAAATTGTAAGGTAGACCCAGGGTCAAATAATTCTGAAGTGGACAACTCCTGATTCTTCATTTGTAATATAACTGAGCTAAATTCCAAATGCCACTCATATGCCAACTAATTTCTAACTAAAATAAGTGTAACGGTCCAAGTCCATTGCTAGTAAATATTGTTTTCTTTGGACTTTTTCTTTCGAGCTTTCCCTCAAGGTTTTTAAAAATCGTCTGTTAGGGAGAGGTTTCCACATCCTTATAAAGAATGTTTCGCTCTCCTCCCTAATCAATGTGGGGCTCAGCGTCCTCGCTGGCATTTGTTCCCTTCTCCAATCGATGTGGGACCCTCTAATTCACCCCCTTCGAGGGCCACTGTCCTTGTTAGCACACTGCCTCATGTCCACACCCCTTCGGGGCTCAGCCTCCTTACTGGCACATCGTTCGATATCTGGCTCTAATACCATTTGTAACGACCAAATCCCACCGCTAACAGATGTTATCCTCTTTGGCCTTCTCCTCAAGATTTTTAAAATGCTTCTGTCATGGAGAGGTTTCCACACCCTTATAGGGTGTTTCGTGCTCCTCTCCAATCGATGTAGGATCTCATAAGAAGAATTTAACAAGGATATTTTCAAAAGAAAAAAAATTGTAACTAAAACAAGGACATGAACTCTGTTCTATGTCAGGGACTGTCTGATGCAGAAAGCAGTAGACAATCCGCACCTACCATAGAGAGAAACTCATTGAGGTCTAAATCTTATCCTAACAAACAGCTGAAAAGACCATTCAAGTCAGGTATAAACAAGCTAATCTTGGGAAGCAAGCTGAATTAAACGTAGTTGGAAGAACCAAATGAATTGGAATCCCTACCCAATTGTCATCATCATTGGGTACACACATACAAAAAAGACCAAATAGTTGATCATCCAGATAAGGCGGCATTTCATTCAACAACTACCGTCAATATCAGATCGTATGTTTCATATAACAGCAAAATTAATAAAGCCACTGAAGAAAGATCACCAAATGTACTCATTCATAGAGATCAAAATGACCGAAGGTATTGCATTTCCATCAAAACTTAGCAATAAATTTACATACGGATCCAGCCTAAAAAAATCATTATGAGGAATTTGCCCCCGCCGATGCAGCCCCTTTAATGGCAATAGAACTTACAGGAGAAACATATGGAAATTGAGCCTCATTTTTCAGGATCATTTTCTTGATCGGAAGTTCCAAACTTCTGCTTGAAAGAATCCTGCCTCTGCAACCACATCATGTGCCCCTGTACCACAAATTATTCCCCACGCTCAATCAGCAGAGAGTTCAACAGGGAAAAGAAAAGCAGTGAAGATAAAAGTTAAACCCTAAAACAGGGAATTGCACCTGGAGAGCTGCGGCCCAAGCAATAAGGAAGGAGGCGAACCAGAATTTCTTGTCCTTGAGAAGATTCTTGATTTCCATCTCTTCAAAACCCTAATCCTGAACCAATTGAGACGTTGGACTGAACTCTCTTCCTTCTTCCACCCGGAGAATTTCGCGCCCACCAGATTTACCTCGCAATCTAAACGTCGGTTTGTCGAGTCGACTCTTCGTGATTTTCTTCACAGTCGACATGTCGTTTTATCCACAGTCGACATGTCGTTTTCTCCACTGAACGTCGTATTTACTAGATCATCGTAATTGCATCAAATTTAGACAAATACGAGATGTTTATCGGTCGGGTCGGGTCGAGAGGAGGAGATTTAGGATCATCTTATATATATATATGTATAATATGAACTAAAAATTATAAATATTTGTAATATATATTAAAATTATTTTTTTAAAAGTCGATAACAACAAAATATTTTAGCCAATAGAATTGAAATTTTCATATTTAATTCCAGTAGAGCCCACGTATTTTTGGGAAAAAAAATAGAGATTTAAATAGAAAATAAGGGTAAATTAATAAAAAAAAATATATTTAAACCCTAAAAAAAACCTTTAAACTTTAAAAAAAAAATCTGAAAAATATGGTTTGTATTTTGTTTTAAAAATACAACTTTTAACCATATTTAAAAATTATTATTAAACTTTAAAAAGTTTTTTTTTTACCATTAATACTATATTTAAAAAAAATTAGAAATAGTTAACGTCTTCTCATTGCAAAAAAAAAAAAAAAAAAAAAAAAAAAAAAATTAATATTTTTATTATATATAAATGAAAACCGTTTATTAACACTTTATATATTATTTTTAAATTTTGAAAATTTATTTTTGAAAGTTTAGAAGTATTTTGTGATAGAGTGGTAACATATATTTTTTAAGTTTTTTAATAATTCAGTAAAACAAATATTTAATTTAAAATTGGTGTTAATTTAATAAATGCTGACAAATAAATGCACAGCAAATTTATAAAAAAAGAAAAAGAAGAAAAAAAAAAATCGGTTTAAACATTACAAAATTCGGGAAGGGAGAAAGAAACAACAGAAGAAGAAGAGTCGTCAAGATGACCACAGAAACCCAACCCGATCGGATAGCATTCTAAGTTTCCATTTTTTTACAGAGCTTGTTTGGATCAGATATGGCAGTTTCAACGTCATGCTTGAGTTGGGTTCCGACGTCCGCATCTAATTGGAAGGTTAGTAATTTGATTGACTGATCTTACACAACCCAATTCTTGTATCTCATTGTGCTTTAATTCCAGCCGAGGTTGCTTCCTTTCAATGAGCCATCAACAGCTACTTGTTCGTATTCTTCCTGTACTACCGTCATTTGCTCAACTGAGAGAACTTCCCGTGTGGAAAGTAAGACTTGTAGTTTTAAGTTCTTCGGTTGATTCCAATGCTTAAGGTTTTGGTTTTGCTTCTTATGCGATGAAAATGCTCGTTTGGTAATTAATCTGGTTGCTTATTGGTGGAAATTTGTTTCAAATTTAGAGAACTGTGGAATTATATGAGATTTGTAGCTTGCATGCAAGGTGTTTGTAGAAATGTCAAAAACAAAAGGGGCTTCGAAGATATAGGTTCAAACATGGTGACAACCTATCTAGGATTTAAAATGATATGAATTTACTTAGCAATCAAATGTAGTAGAGTTTGGTAGTTGTTTTTTGAGATTAACCAAGGTGTTCGCAAATTGGCCTAGACAGACATTGATGTTTGAAAAAGAAAAAATCGATGATAACTTCTATGTGACTTCTATGGTTTTTAATAGTGGGATTGTTCTCTCAATAAGTATTTTGATTAAGTTCTGCTTGGAATTTAGCAAAATTATGACTCACTTCTATGGTTTTTATAGTGGGAATGTTCTCCTAAAATGGATTTTGATTTGTTCTAATTGGAACTTTTCTTTTCTTTTCTTTCGCTGTTTTCTCAAGCCTAGATTTCCGTAATGACCGTAATACTGTGATGTTGAATATTAACATTAGGTCAATGCAATAGAAGGCCGCTTCTGTTGGGAGTTGGAGCTCTAGCAACAAGTTTATTTGCTGCACGTCCCCTATTTGCTGAAGGTATAAATTCACTTCTCTCTGATAATCTAATGTTGGATTCTAAATTAATTTCGTGGTCTGTATGCGCAGAAGTCCCGAAAAATTATCGAGCATTTGTAGATTCTACAGATGGGTATTCCTATTATTACCCTTCTGATTGGAGGGTAAGAAAAATTCAACCAGGAGAAACATGAGACTTTTCTGTATTAAACCAAAGAATATACTAAAACAAACAATTTTGAAATGTTCCCTGTCCAGGAATTTGATTTTAGAGCACATGATTCGGCATTCAAGGATCGATACCTGCAACTACAGAATGTTAGAGTGAAGTTCATACCAACAGAGAAAAAGGATATCCATGAAGAAGGTTCATTAGATGAGGTAAAGGAATCTTCAATTTAAATCATATTTGATATACTTGAAAGAGGTCTGAATAATTAACTCGACTCGACTCGAGCAGGTTGTTAACTTTTTGGTAAAACATCGATATGCTGCACCAAATCAAAAGGCTACCATATACGACATGAAGGAGGTTTGCATCTTTATCAGTCTCTCCAAATCCATATTTCGATATAGTATTATCTTGAGGTCTGTTTATGGACATCTGGTTGATCTTTTATTCACCTGTTTCAGCGAACGATTGATGGGAAAAATTATTATACCTTTGAGTATAAACTTAGTTCTAGAGCATACTCCCGCACCTCCTTTGCAACCATAGCCGTTGCAAATGGTAAGCTCATATTTTGTACCTTTAGAATTTTGGACCCTTCCATATTTTGATTTATCAGCTCCAAATCCCTTGCTTGTTGATCTAGGATACTTTTTTTACCCCCAAGAGATGTTTGGAAAAATTTCATTCGAACAGAATCGAAGTTAACCAAACTCATTTGATCAAGTTGTATTCTGCAATCTTAAACTAGTTCATAACTAACCAATATTTTGTGAATTGAATACTATTTGATTTGTGTTGAAGTCCCCGATCTTGAGCTGAATTAAACCTGTATTTATCCCTTGCACTTGTATATTCTGATGAGTTAATAGAAGCATTGCAAGTTTTTTAACTCCTTGAATTTAACAGGTGGGAGAATTCAAACCTCTAACTTCAAACTCTTTAGTCGATGATATATGTCTTTAACTTATTGCTATCCTCATGTTCGGTTTAAAACAACAACCCTTTTTGTAATATGCAGGTAGGTACTATACTTTGATAGTTGGGGCAAATGACAGAAGGTGGAGAAGGTATCGTGACATGCTTAAAGTGGTTGCCGACTCATTCAGAGTGTTGGATATCTGAGCTGTTTCTAAAGGTTGTAAATCACTCGGTTTCTCTATTTTAAAAGTTCCCTTTTCATTTAATATGTAGCACTATTGGATATTGTTGTATATAGTTGGTATATAGCTATCTCCCTTGTAAGGTATATCTTTTCAGAGCTAAATTTACGATGAAACAAAATTAGAATGCATTAGATTTCATGGGTTTAAACATTCTGAAACATACAATAATTTCAAGTTCTCAAGAAATAGTAAGATAAAGATGGTTTTAAAAATGATGTAAATGTTAGGAATCACGACTCTCCACAATGGTATGATATTGTCCACTTTGAGCCTAAACTCTTATGGCTTTACTTTGGGCTTCTCCAAAAGATCTCATTCCAATGAAGATGTATTCCTTACCTATAAACCCATGATCATTCCTTATTTAGTCATGTCAATAGAATTCTTAAGTGTTTGAACAAATAAATTACTAGCTTCGAAAGTGTAGTTAAAAGTGACTCATGTGTCGAACAAATAGTGTACTTTGTTTGAGGGCTCCAGAGAAAGTAGTCGAGTTTCGATTAAGGAGAGGCTGTTCAAGGGCTACATAGACCTCAAGGGAGGCTCTATAGTATACTTTGTTTGAGAGAAGGATTGTTGAGGATTGTTGGGAGGGAGTTCGACGTTTGCTAATTTAAGGAATGATCATGGGTTTATAACTAAGGAATACATCTTTATTGGAATGTGGCCTTTTGAGGAAGCCTAAAGCAAAGTCATGAGAGCTTTGCTCAAAGTGGAGACAATATCATACCATTGTGGAGTCTGATTCTTAATAGTAGGATCCATCTAACATTAAAAAAAATATTATAAAGTTTATAACATTATGTAAACTTTATAAAAAAAATGTATATATAGTATGAACAAAGAGAGTGGAGTGATACCTGAGGAAAATTTCCTGTTGATCAACCAAAATACTTGAATGAAAAGGAAACGAGTTCTTTGGGTTAAACACAACCAAAAAACAGCTATTGATTAATTGTAAACGACGTATTTACAAAGGTTACAAACGTATTCTTCCTCTTCAGCTTCCCAAGATTCATCATACACGAGAGAGGAGTCTTTGAAGAGAAAAATAAAATTTAGAAAATGAAAACCACACCTAGAATTTGAACCCACCCCACCCCCTATTCTAATCATTCAATAAACAAATCAATATACCATGGAGTTACAAACCCAATGGGATTGATGCTTGCCTCCTAAAGAATATGGATCTCTGGGCCCAAGAGAAGGCCCTCTTCGGTCAAACTCCAAAAAGCTCCTAATTCTGTACCCTACTACGTCTGAGCAAAGAAACTACTATTACTTCTGTCCGATCTGATACCCCTAGCTATGCATGATGAGCTACAAAATCTCTCCGAGGAGTTCTCTTTGTCAGAATCTCAAACAGGGCAGATGGAGCAAACGAAGGCAGACGAAAAACGCAACGTGTTTTGAACAATCAGATTCCATAACTTAAACAAGTCGATGCTGTCGTAAACCCTTACCAAAATGTGGCTGCATCAAGCGGACGTATAGGCCGTTCTTAGCGACCAAGGAATCGTGAGTACCCTCCTCCACTATTCGACCACCATTTAGTACCACGATATTATCAACATGCCTCATCATTGCAGCTCTATGGGCAATCAGAATGGTTGTTTTGTTTCCCATGATTAAAGTGTCAAGAGCCTCTTGCACGACCCGACTTGACTCAGATTCGATCGAGGAACTTGCCTCGTCCAATAAAAGGATAGGTGCATTCTTCAACACTACCCGAGCTATTGCAATTCTCTGTTTCTGCCCTGGGGTTAGATCCACACCCCTCATTCCTACATGAGTGTCATAACCGTGAGGCAGGCTACTAATGAAATGGTGAGCATTTGCTATTCTAGCAGCCTCTTTCATTTCAGCTTCACTGGCATTGTGCCTTGCATATATAATGTTTTCCCTTATGGTTGTTGAAAAGATTATAGGTTCCTGCTGAACAAGACCTAAATGATTCCTCAACCATCTCAAGTTATAGGTCTTCAAATCTCGACCATCCAACAAAACTTGACCCGCAACGGGGTCATAGAATCTCTCAATCAACGATATTATCGTGCTCTTTCCCGATCCAGAAACACCCACCACTGCCACAGTCTGCCCACCATTAACTTTAAGACTGAAATTGCTCAATACCAAAACTTCGGGACGAGTAGGATAACAGAAATCTGCATTTTTCAGTTCAATGCTTCCATAGACGTTAGGCGGCTTCAATGCCGAGTTATCGTCTGGGTCAATCTTTGGTACACGGTCTATGATCTCAAATACCGAAATGAGCGACTTGCGTCGTTTGAGAATATACGGAGCCAACCCAAAAGGTTCCACCAAAGCAAATGTTGCAAAAGAGAACACCATGTACACTTGAAGAGCAATAGGCAGCTCCATAAACCTCTTTTTGACAGCAAATGCAGTGTACCAAAGAAGAAGGGCATTACAGGCAAAGAGAAGAAACTGTGAAAAGCCAAATGCAAAACCAATTGCCATGCCATGAAGGAAGCTCTGCTTAAAAATTTTGTTAAGTTGCAATCTGTAGAGTTCCATAACCTTATTTCCAGCACAGAATGCTACTACGGTGTATATGTTTCTTACTGCATCTTCAAGAACCAAGGATGCTTTCCGGTGCATCTCCTGGATGCCCCTTGAAAATCCAGCAAGCCATAACTTCTGCAGTAATCCACAAAAGAAAAAGGTAATCTTATATTGAATATGTAAATATTTTTACTATAGTTAAGATTTGGTCCCTAGGTTTCAAATTGTTACATTTTTACTCTTGAGATTTCTCACTAATACTCATTTTTTTTGTAATTTATGTAAATTTATTATAATTAGATTAATTAATTGCTACTAATTTTTCATCACTATTGAAATTAATTTAAAAAAGCTGTATCATAATATTTAAACTAATGAATAGAGACTAAACACCAAGGACCAAAAGTAAGCATTAATAGTAAAAATTCAAGGGTAAAAGTGTATAATCCTAAAACCTTGGACTAAATGGAAATTGAACTCAAAACTCAAGGTAAGGTAAGAGCGTAAAATTTTGAAACCTAGGACCCAAATAGAAATCAAACCCGAAAGTCAAGGTAAGAATGTAACATTTTGAAACTTAGAAACTAAATGAAAACTAGACCAAAATGGTAAAATACCCTTTTTATTTTATTGAATTAGCACTTTTTGAAACCTGGAAGAGAGAACCACCAAATTTATTCGAATTCTTTTTAAAAGCTAACACATATGGAAACCCTGTTAATTCTATTTCCCCTTTCTTCCTTGGTTCTTTCCTCTTCAATTTTTTTTTTTTTTTTTTTTTTTTTTTTTTTTTTTTGGGTGGCAGATAAAAATATCCATGTCCATGAAGCTCACTTAAAAGGTCTGGCTACCATAAGCTAGCATTTGGAAAACAAAAAATTGAACTAAAAAGTAAAGAATTCACACCTGTGCAAAGGCAGAAACAGTTAACACTGGCAACGTTGCCAATGCCACAAGTGCCAAACGCCATTGTAGCACCATTCCAATAAGAAGTGCAACAATAACAGCAGCACTATCTTGAATAAATATGGAAAGTCGGTTGCTAAAAGTAGCTCGTACAAATGTAGCGTCATTTGCCAAACGCATGGATAGAGTGTCTGCACTGTTTTCCTCTTCATCAAACCATCCTACTTCATTTCGTAGCATTGCTGTTATTTTTTGGGGACAGAAGAATATTAAAAAGACATAAATCAACGTTAACTGAAATGCAAAAACAATTATATTCCATGTAGGGAAAAACTATACAGAAACTAGAAGATAAAACACTCACCTGAAAACATCATTCTCCGAACTCGCTCAGTCATTTTTTCCCCCATTATTCCAAAGTAAAAATGTTGAAGAAAATTGGCAATCACTGTGACAAAGCCCATGCAAGCAATGATCAAGCACCATTTGTCTACTTCATGCTTTAGGCTATGGCCTTCATCCCTTTTGTAATATGCTGTTATTATCAGAGCAATTACATATGCGAGAAGAGGATTGAAAGATCCAAAGATGGCAGCACCAAGACCTCCTAAGACGGCATAAAGCCACTCTGCAAAGCTAAGTTCAGCAAGCCTCCAAAAGGATGGTGACTTTTTATGCTTAGTATCCTTTTCGTCCTTTGCTTTCATTTGAAAGTCATCTGATCGACTGTGCAATCTACTGAAAGTCTGTGAATGAGAACGTTCACTTTTGGGGTCAGATGTTAAGAGAGGTGAAATAGGTGACTCAGGGTCTGAACCATTTGACGTTTGACGATGTGTAGATTGAACATCAATCTTTGGTAACTCTGGGAGTCTCATTTCGAAACTATCCTGCCGCCTGATTGATGGTTCCTTGTCAACAGAAGAATCCAAGATCTGACCATTTTCAGATATCTTTTCAGGAGGGGGACTAGAAACTTTAGGTGATTCATGAGAATTGTTATAAACACCATCTGTCGACCGTAAAACACCAGGAACCCTCTGAAGAGAGGGTGACTTCATAAATTTAGGGGATGATGGTTCTTGGACACTGTGACTCGCAGAAGAATCTTTTTCAAATTGGAAAGCTGAAGTATCCTTGTAATTTCTGACTGGCATCCTGAATGAAGTCATAATATAGAAGCAATTCAGAAGAAATAACCAAGAATTTCAACTATCCAAAGATATGCAGCAATATAACCTTCAAATTTCTTTTTCCAGATAAAAGACATGACCATCGTTAAAAGATGAAACTGGTAGTATGTATGGAAAGGGAAGATAAGAAATCCATCCCGCCAAAGAGTTCTAAAAAATGTCCTTCAATTGGAATTCTAAAATAGCAGAATTACATTTACAATTAACAACTATCTTGATCAGGTCTTTAGGTTTATTTTGGCTCTATCATCTTTAAGTGGTATCTTTGTTTGCACTTTTGCATTATTTCTATCTCTTATCAATGGAAGCTTGATTTCTATCAAAACAAATAAACAAACAATTAACAATCGTGCTCATCTGAGGAAATTTTGGAGAACTCGGCTAAAATTTCTTTTTTAGTCGATAAAGGTGAGGGAGGGGATTTAAACCCAAGATGGGGGTTGCATTCTAGTAGGTGATTTTTTCGAGTTGAGCCA